GATCTTCGTCTCCAACAAGGGAAGTGCTCTGTACCCAATAACCCTTAAATCTAGTCATTCCTGGCCAGTTATATAGGTAGATTAGGGTACCGGTTAGAACACGTGGGGAGCCACCCTAAAAGGGTAAATAATAATTAAATCTAATCAAATAAATTACAATAATTTCCCTTGATATAACTGTCAGATATACGTTACTATTATTATAGTTAGTGCCTTTTGACAGGTGAAATTGAAGGGGAATTAGCAGTCACCATCCTGGTACAACACTTACCGTGTGATTATACTAGCATCACCTACAAGGAGTACTTGTATGTGTTCATCCGTGTTCGTATGTGGTTGTCAGGCCAAAATCAACAATACAGATAGGCTGTATTTACTAATTTATTTACTAACTTTTGTTGTATTAACATTGTAGTAAATATCTACCAATCGGTAATTTCGATTGAAAGAATATATATAAATAATAAACCCGCCAGCTTGTGTAGGAAAGGATTTGTGGGATTTTAATATCATACAGGCCACTTTAAACTTATACAGTCCGTTATGGAAATAAATAAATTAACGTAAGAAATACAATAATATAAATTACTTAATATAAATAAATATATCCCACGAGTCAGTTTTCGCCACACTCACATTGGCCTCCTGACCCATCCTAGTGACCCCGTGGGGGGCGGGGCACCATGACCCCGTGGGGCGCGGGGCACCATGACCCCGTGGGGCGCGGGGCACCATGACCCCGTGGGGCGCGGGGCACCATGACCCCGTGGGGCGCGGGGCACCATGACCCCGTGGGGCGCGAGGCACCATGACCCCGTGGGGCGCGAGGCACCATGACCCCGTGGGGCGCGGGCACCATGACCCCGTGGGGCGCGGGGAGAGACTGTTTCCCATACTCAGTGTACTACAGCCCGTCCTCATAAACATAGCCCGTCCTCATAAACATTGCCCGTCCTCATAAACATTGCCCGTCCTCATAAACATAGCCCGTCCTCATAAACATTGCCCGTCCTCATAAACATTGCCCGTCCTCATAAACATTGCCCGTCCTCATAAACATTGCCCGTCCTCATAAACATTGCCCGTCCTCATAATCATTGCTCGTCCTCATAAACATATCTCGTCCTCATAATCATTGCTCGTCCTCATAAACATTGCCCGTCCTCATAAACATAGCTCGTCCTCATAAACATAGCTCGTCCTCATAAACATCGCCCGTCCTCATAAACATCGCCCGTCCTCATAAACATAGCCCGTCCTCATAAACATAGCTCGTCCTCATAAACATAGCACGTCCTCATAAACATCGCCCTTCCTCATAAACATAGCCCGTCCTCATAAACATAGCACGTCCTCATAAACATTGCCCGTCCTCATAAACATCGCCCGTCCTCATAAACATAGCCCGTCCTCATAAATATAGCACGTCCTCATAAACATCGCCCTTCCTCATAAACATTGCCCGTCCTCATAAACATAGCACGTCCTCATAAACATTGCCCGTCCTCATAAACATCGCCCGTCCTCATAAACATCGCCCGTCCTCATAAACATAGCCCGTCCTCATAAACATTGTATCGGAAATTTCCAACAGTTATTCTCATCCCTAATACAATAGGATGTATTTCCTGTATTAGGCTTCATACTCATTTACTAATCCTTAGTGTGGGAACCGAACTGTGAGATTTATATTTATTTAATTTATATGAATTTATATGAATTTATATTTACGTTAATTTATATACTTCGATAGCAATTTGTATAATGATAAGTGGACTGTATTTCTGCAATAATCTCATAATCTCACAAATCGATCCTCTACACATTAGGGGGGTTTATATTAATTAAATATATATGCAGCCAATCAAACTACAGTATTAACTACATACATTGAAAAGGTTCCTTATCTTATAGTACAGCAGGTTAGTCCACCAGGTATAACTAGGGTGTAGACACCAAATTATCCTCTTTGAGGTAGCTTCCATCACCCAGTAACTGGTGCACAAAATCTTGCTTCCTCGTCTTGACCTGTCAAAAGGGCGCTAGCTGTGAAGCCAGGATCCTATATATGACAAGCTATATCAGAGAAAACACTATACATGGAACAATAAAGACCTGGCTTAATTACCTTTAGTTTGAGGCTATGTCGTGCTCTAACCGGGCCACCCTATATAATGACATTAATGGCCATAAATGAAAGATACATGGGTTTCGGAAAGAACACTTAACTTGAATTTGTTGACAGCGTGTGATAATGGTACACCTTTGGTTTCCATAACACTACGTCCAAGTAAAATTAACAGGAGCCGAATTTGCTCCCGTGTGAGCCTCTGGTCTAGTATCAACAATAATGGCTGCCCTCCTTCCCCACTGACGCCTGGCCTACATTGTCCAAATGTCAGAAAGTGATAGAAGGGTCACATTTACTCTACTTTAATATTGATAATTAAGTTAATTTATATAAGATGTTTTTATGATGGTAAAGTCCAAAGACTAATGTATTTAAGAATAATTCCCACCATAATAGGTGGTGAATTATAATAGTATGTGGTGATGAAATCCCGTTTTCTTTAGACGGTAATTCCACTACAAGTTACGTTTTCTATAGGTTACTTGTTTATACAATACAGCTATTATCTGTATGATTATTAAATGGTGTCGGATTTTCCGACACTTAGTACAATGGGATGTATTTCCTGTACTGAACGTTATAATTAACTAACACTACTAATCCATAGTTTAGTATCACAGAATTCATTGCAATAGGATGTGGAACATCATGTAATTTCTCCTAGAATTGTGCAGTGTTGTGTCAGCCACCCACGGAGAATAAATTTCCACATATCTGTAGATCTAATAGAAGTCCAACCATTTACTTTTCTTTATTGGGGATAATTATTTAGTAATAGGTTTACTTTTAGTATACAACAGTTTACTGGAATTCCTTAACCCAGCTTGATCGCTGTTCTAGTAAATAATATCATAATCTAAAATCATTTCCGCCTCCAAAAGATTCTTGTTTTATTTGTGTAGTCTACATTAACTGACCTGCACTGTGAGAATCAAATATCACCACATAAAGTATTCATAAACACTTCCTTCCCTATTTAGCTTTAATAAATAAATATCATTTATGCTCGAGCCCCCCCCCCCACTGAGCTATGCGCATGCGCGACATTCGGGAAGGAAGGGGACTCCCGCCATTTTCGATCAACTAGCAGTACGGTGTTCCGAAGCGGTCCCAACAAATCTTACAATCCAGAAGGCATCCGTACATCCTCGGACGTCAGATTGAGGACGCAGCTTACCAGAATCACGGACACCAGTTCGGCAGGCATTTTTACCTTGTTCAGTTGTAGTTTGAGCTCAGATAATAACTAATATAGGTGCCATGTCGTAACGCTGAAGGCGATCAAATAAACCCCACGTAAATGCTGCTTTCACCCCTCCAAATATTTAGATATTGCATTTATGTGCGTGATTACTAATTTGGAGTGGAAATTCTGGAATTTAATTATTGCAGCCTGGTGCAACACCACTGAGGAAGCGTGTGACTGCCATATACTCACGTGTTCCATGTACCACTATCTCAAGCTGTTTCCAGACTGTTGTAGAGATTGGACTCCACCTACGTCCCTCTGTCATAGCTGAGATTTAATCAGTTTTCATTGTAGACAGTATCTTTTAATTAATTATTGAGAGTCAAAGCATTTCTAATCTTTGCATATTAATCAGATACATGATTTAAATTTTAATATGCAGTAGTATTTCTTGCATTACATTTTATTTATCATTATCTGTGTATGTGCATATTATCATTATTTTTATTACATAATATATGTTACACACATAGAATAACCTCATAGAAGACCCCCCCAAAATGTGTCATGGGAAGCTGGTTCTAACATTCATAGAATTTACAGTTATTGCTAAATAGAATATAATTATATATAATCATAGAGATCCATAAGTCACTGATTTTCTCATTTAATAATGCATTCTGGTCCATCCAGCTATCTTAGATTTAATCATTGTTTGCATTTAAAGAAATATACATATTATTGGTATTAAATCAGAACCAGATTTCCCCACACATTGCCCGTCCTCATAAACATTGCCCGTCCTCATAAACATTGCCCGTCCTCATAAACATTGCCCGTCCTCATAAACATTGCCCGTCCTCATAATCATTGCCCGTCCTCATAAACATTGCCCGTCCTCATAAACATTGCCCGTCCTCATAAACATTGCCCGTCCTCATAAACATTGCCCGTCCTCATAAACATTGCCCGTCCTCATAAACATTGCCCGTCCTCATAAACATAGCTCGTCCTCATAAACATACCTCGTCCTCATAAACATAGCTCGTCCTCATAAACATTGCCCGTCCTCATAAACATTGCCCGTCCTCATAAACATTGCCCGTCCTCATAAACATTGCCCGTCCTCATAAACATTGCCCGTCCTCATAAACATTGCCCGTCCTCATAAACATTGCCCGTCCTCATAAACATTGCCCGTCCTCATAAACATAGCTCGTCCTCATAAACATAGCTCGTCCTCATAAACATAGCTCGTCCTCATAAACATAGCTCGTCCTCATAAACATAGCTCGTCCTCATAAACATAGCTCGTCCACATAAACATAACCCATCCTCATAAACATAGCTCGTCCTCATAAACATAGCCAGTCCTCATAAACATAGCTCGTCCTCATAAACATAGCTCGTCCTCATAAACATAGCCCGTTCTCATAAACATAGCTCGTCCTCATAAACATAGCTCGTCCTCATAAACATAGCTCGTCCTCATAAACATAGCTCGTCCTCATAAACATAGCTCGTCCTCATAAACATAGCTCGTCCACATAAACATAACCCATCCTCATAAACATAGCTCGTCCTCATAAACATAGCCAGTCCTCATAAACATAGCTCGTCCTCATAAACATAGCTCGTCCTCATAAACATAGCCCGTTCTCATAAACATAGCTCGTCCTCATAAACATAGCTCGTCCTCATAAACATAGCTCGTCCTCATAAACATAGCTCGTCCTCATAAACATAGCTCGTCCTCATAAACATAGCTCGTCCTCATAAACATAGCTCGTCCTCAAAAACATAGCCAGTCCTCATAAACATAGCTCGTCCTCATAAACATAGCTCGTCCTCATAAACATAGCTCGTCCTCATAAACATAGCTCGTCCTCATAAACATAGCTCGTCCTCATAAACATAGCCAGTCCTCATAAACATAGCTCGTCCTCATAAACATAGTCCGTCTTCATAAACATAGCTCGTCCTCATAAACATAGCTCGTCCTCATAAACATAGCTCGTCCTCATAAACATAGCTCGTCCTCATAAACATAGCTCGTCCTCATAAACATAGCCAGTCCTCATAAACATAGCTCGTCCACATAAACATAGCTCGTCCTCATAAACATAGCTCGTCCTCATAAACATAGCTCGTCCTCATAAACATAGCTCGTCCTCATAAACATAGCCAGTCCTCATAAACATAGCTCGTCCTCATAAACATAGTCCGTCTTCATAAACATAGCTCGTCCTCATAAACATAGCTCGTCCTCATAAACATTGCCCGTCCTCATAAACATAGCTCGTCCTCATAAACATAGCTCGTCCTCATAAACATAGCTCGTCCTCATAAACATAGCTCGTCCTCATAAACATAGCTCGTCCTCATAAACATAGCTCGTCCTCATAAACATAGCTCGTCCACATAAACATGACCCATCCTCACAAACATAATTCGAAACTGAATCATTCTGTATCTTATCCAGGATATTCTGTATCAATTGAGCCGGTCGGCCGAGCGGACAGCACGCTGGACTTGTGATCCTGTGGTCCCGGGTTCGATCCCGAGCGCCGGCGAGAAACAATAGGTAGAGTTTCTTTCACCCTATGCCCCTGTTACCTAGCAGTAAAATAGGTACCTGGGTGTTAGTCAGCTGTCACGGGCTGCTTCCTGGGGGTGGAGGCCTGGTCGAGGACCGGGCCGCGGGGACACTAAAGCCCCGAAATCATCTCAAGATAACCTCAAGATAAGATATCCTAACTAACATTACTGTTTTATGAATTATTAAAGTTACTAAGAGCCTGTGTATCATATCGTAACTTCCTATATACATGTCATAAACAAGACCTAAGAACAAAAACTTACGATAACTCTTACTATGACCAAGTTGTTAAGGTATTCTTTAAACAATATTACTGAATCAGTGTGTAAAAATATCTTCTCCTAAGCATCATCTCTTTAATTATATCTTTATACAACAATATCTTTGAAACTGTTCTCTAAGAACAATGTAATATTATTGTCACCCATTCTAATGTAACTTATTTAACCTATCTTAACCTAACCTTCCTACTTATTAACCTAACTTATCTACCTTAACCTATCCTACCTACCTTAACCTAACTTAACCTAGCTTATATAACTTTACCTAATTTGCATAACATAACCTAATTTTCAAAACATCACCAAATTATCAAACCTAACCTAACCTAATTTTCGTAACCTACCTAATATTATTTACCAAACTAAACCTAACCTACTAAATGTATCTTAACTAACCTAAGTTAAACAAACTTACCTAAGTTAAACCAACTTACCCAAATTAAACTTATCTAACCTAACCTTTGAAAGAGTTCCCTCTTTTAGTGAGTTAAGATCTCTCATGCATCTTAGTCTATTGTAGTCAATATTTCCCTTTAATTGTAGAAACTGTCGTAATTTTCTTAAAAATTACAGTAACGAGAAGTTTAGTGTATTTGTTATTCAACTATACTGGCGAATTGCTCTCGTTTTGACGACATCCGCATGGACGTTGTCAAGCGTCTAACCTTAGGCTTGACAAGCGTCAGACTTGTCAAGCCTCAAGCTTGTCAAACATCAAGCTTGTCAAGTGCTCCAAGAGTCCTTGTGAACCTGGCGTGACAACTTCACGCTGCTCGTATCCTATCCCACCACCCACCTATCCCAGGATAGGTCGTATCCTATCCCACCCCTCAGTGATAGCCGCCTATTCATTCTTCCTTCACCAGATGTCAAACCCACACAAACTTTCCCCTGTAAGGTGTCAACAGACGCGCCAGATGGCAGATGTTTACCTGTATGGCTGGTCCGGGCATCTGTCTGTTGACGGCTATGATGCGCCTCTTGACCCCGTCGCCAGGGACGCACTCTGGCCGCTCGCAGTCAGTCGTGTTCCTGGGACAGTCGTAGCACGCCCTGAGGAGCACAGGCCTTTAGTTCACCCGATACGGCGGGCACGGCTCAGTCATGTAATGGGTCTTACAGTCACTTAATGGGTCTTACAGTCTTGTAATGGGTCTCACAGTCATAGAATGGGTCATACAGTCATGTAATGGGTCTTACAGTCATAGAATCAGTCATACAGTCATGTAATGGGTCTTACAGTCCCATAATGGGTCTTACAGTCATGTAATGGGTCTTGCAGTCATGTAATGGGTCTTACAGTCACTTAATGGGTCTTACAGTCTCGTAATGGGTCTAACAGTCTTGTAATGGGGTCTTACAGTCATGCAATGGGTCTTACAGTCATGTAATGTGTCTTACAGTCATGTAATGGGTCTTACAGTCATAGAATGGGTCTTACAGTCATAGAATGGGTCTTATAGTCTCGTAATAGGTCTTACAGTCATAGAATGGGTCTTACAGTCATAGAATGGGTCTTATAGTCTCGTAATGTGTCTTACAGTCATGCAATGGGTCTTACAGTCATGTAATGGGTCTTACAGTCATGTAATGGGTTTTACAGTCATAGAATGGGTCTTACAGTCATAGAATGGGTCTTATAGTCTCGTAATGGGTCTTACAGTCTTGTGATGGGGTCTTACAGTCATGTAATGGGTCTTACAGTCATGTAATGGGTCTTACAGTCAAGTAATGGGTCTTACAGTCATGTAATGGGTCTTAGAGTCATGTAATGGATCTTACAGTCTTGTAATAGGTCTTACATTCATGTAATGGGTCTTACAGTCATGTAATGGGTCTTACAGTCATGTAATGGGTCTTACAATCATGTAATGAGTCTTACAGTCATGTAATGGATCTTACAGTCATGTAATGGGTCTTACAGTCACACAATGGATCTTACAGTCACATAATGGGTCTTACAGTCATGTAATGGGTCTTACAGTCATGTAATGATTCTTACAGTCTTTAATGGGTCTTACAGTCTTTATGTAATGGGTCTTACAGTCATGTAATGGGTCTTACAGTCATGTAATGGGTCTTACAGTCACATAATGGGTCTTACAGTCATGTAATGGGTCTTACAGTCATGTAATGGGTCTTACAGTCACATAATGGGGTTTTTCCAGTCACATAATGGGTCTTATAGTCATGTAATGGGTCTTACAGTCATGTAATGGGTCTTACAGTCATGTAATGGATCTTACAGTCATGTAATGGGTCTTACAGTCATGTAATGGGTCTTACAGTCACATAATTCGTCTTACAGTCACAGAATGGGTATTAGTCATGTAATGGGTCTTACAGTCATGTAATGGGTCTTACAGTTACATAATGGGTCTTACAGTCACATAATGGGTCTTACAGTCACATAATGGATCTTACAATCACATAATGGGTCTTACAGTCACATAATGGGTCTTCCAGCACATAATGGGTCTTACATTCACATAATGGGTCTTACAGTCACATAATAAGTTTTACAGTCAAATAATGGGTCTTACAGTCACATAATGGGTCTTACAGTCACATAATGGGTCTTACAGTCACATAATGGGTCTTACAGTCACATAATGGGTCTTACCGTCACATAATAAGTCTTACAGTCAAATAATGGGTCTTACAGTCACATAATGGGTCTTACAGTCACATAATGGGTCTTACAGTCACATATTGGGTCTTACAGCACATAATGCGTCTTACAGTCATAAAATGGGTCTTACAGTCATGTAATGGGTCTTACAGCACATAATGGGTGTTACAGTCACATAATGGGTCTTACAGTCACATAATGGGTCTTACAGTCATGTAATGGGTTATACTTTCACACAAAAGGTCTCGTGGGGTTAAGTTTGGTTAGCCTAAAATTGTTAAGTTAGCGAAGGTTTAGTTAGGAAAGGCAAGGTTTGGTTATGTTTTGGTGGAATCAGGTTAGATTTGGTTGGATTTAAGTACATTAAGTTACGTTTAAGTGGGTTAGATTTGGTTGGATTTAAGTACATTAAGTTACGTTTAAGGGGTTAGATTTGGTTGGATTTAAGTACATTAAGTTACGTTTAAGGGGTTAGATTTGGTTGGATTTAAGTACATTAAGTTACGTTTAAGTGGGTTAGATTTGGTTGGATTTAAGTACATTAAGTTACGTTTAAGTGGGTTAGATTTGGTTGGATTTAAGTACATTAAGTTACGTTTAAGTGGGTTAGATTTGGTTGGATTTAAGTACATTAAGTTACGTTTAAGTGGGTTAGATTTGGTTGGATTTAAGTACATTAAGTTACGTTTAAGTGGGTTAGATTTGGTTGGATTTAAGTACATTAAGTTACGTTTAAGTGGGTTAGATTTGGTTGGATTTAAGTACATTAAGTTACGTTTAAGGGGTTAGATTTGGTTGGATTTAAGTACATTAAGTTACGTTTAAGGGGTTAGATTTGGTTGGGTTAAGTTAGTTTAGGCTAGGTTTGGTTACCTTAGTTTGCTTAGGTGAGATTAGATTAGGTTAAGTTCGGCTATGGTAAATGTGATTTAATACAACACAATTTTTGCTTTGTTGTATTAAGAGAGAACAAGTGTGTAGGTGAAGGGATGTATGAAGGACACAACCTTCTTCTCCCACAGTGATCAAGGTATTGGTTTATACTACGGCTCATGGCCGACGATAAGGGCAAGGTCTGACCTGGACAGCGTCTGGTAGGGGTGCACGTCGAAGTGGAAGTAGCAGATCCTGGTGTCTAGCGGCACACATTTCCTGTAGCAGAGCTCGCCTGGGGAGGGAGACACGCTGGGGTTAAATATGAGAGTAAAACAAAGATATTTTCCTTTCTATACTATGTCTATGTTCGTTTGGTCGTGCTTCTGTTCGGATGCTAGGTAATAGGTATTTGTGGGTCGAATCCTTTAAAATGATCATTTAATAATTGTGATATTGCCAACTGTTGTGGATTGTTCCTCGGTGTACGAGCTTTTAAATGTCTGTGTTCACTGAAGGCTAATGTTTGCCGTATGTAAACATTGATGAAAGGCTTCTGTTTACTGTACATAAATACTCACTCCATGCTTCTATTTACTCTAAGTACATATTCACTAGACCTTACGTTTACTGGGAGTAAATATTGCCTCACCCCTCTCACCTTGACGCCTCACCCCTCCCACCTTGACCCCTCACCCTTCTTACCTACAAGCCTCACCCCTCCCACCTTGACCCCTCACCCTTCTTACCTACAAGCCTCACCCCTCTTACCTACAAGCCTCACCCCTCTCACCAACAAGCCTCACCCCTCTTACCTACAAGCCTCACCCCTCTCACCTACAAGCCTCACCCCTCTCACTTACAAGCCTCACATCTCTCACCAACAAGCCTCACCCTTCTCACCTACAAGCCTCACCCTTCTCACCTACAAGCCTCACCCCTCTCACCTACAAGCCTCACCCCTCTCACCTACAAGCCTCACCCCTCTCACCTACAAGCCTCACCCCTCTCACCTACAAGCCTCACCCCTCTCACCTACAAGCCTCACCCCTCTCACCTACAAGCCTCACCCTTCTCACCTACAAGCCTCACCCCTCTCACCTACAAGCCTCACCCCTCTCACCTACAAGCCTCACCTCTCTCACCTACAAGCCTCACCCCTCTCACCTACAAGCCTCACCTCTCTCACCTACAAGCCTCACCCCTCTCACCTACAAGCCTCACCCCTCTCACCTACAAGCCTCACCTCTCTCACCTACAAGCCTCACCTCTCTCACCTACAAGCCTCACCTCTCTCACCTACAAGCCTCACCCCTCTCACCTACAAGCCTCACCTCTCTCACCTACAAGCCTCACCCCTCTCACTTACAAGCCTCACCTCTCTCACCTACAAGCCTCACCCCTCTCACCTACAAGCCTCACCCCTCTCACCTACAAGCCTCACCCCTCTCACCTACAAGCCTCACCTCTCTCACCTACAAGCCTCACCCCTCTCACCTACAAGCCTCACCCCTCTTACCTACAAGCCTCACCCCTCTCACCTACAAGCCTCACCTCTCTCACCTACAAGCCTCACCCCTCTCACCTACAAGCCTCACCTCTCTCACCTACAAGCCTCACCCCTCTCACCTACAAGCTTCACCCCTCTTACCTACAAGCCTCACCTCTCTCACCTACAAGCCTCACCCCTCTCACCTACAAGCCACACCCCTCTTACCTACAAGCCTCACCCCTCTCACCTACAAGCCTCACCCCTCTCACTTACAAGCCTCACCCCTCTCACTTACAAGCCTCACTCCTCTTACCTACAAGCCTCACCCCTCTTACCTACAAGCCTCACCCCTCTCACCTACAAGCCTCACCCCTCTCACTTACAAGCCTCACTCCTCTTACCTACAAGCCTCACCTCTCTCACCAACAAGCCTCACCCCTCTCACTTACAAGCCTCACTCCTCTTACCTACAAGCCTCACCCCTCTCACCTACAAGCCTCACCCCTCTCACCTACAAGCCTCACCCCTCTCACTTACAAGCCTCACTCCTCTTACCTACAAGCCTCACTCCTCTTACCTACAAGCCTCACCCCTCTCACCTACAAGCCTCACCCCTCTCACTTACAAGCCTCACTCCTCTTACCTACAAGCCTCACCTCTCTCACCTACAAGCTTCACTCCTCTTGTCAGAAAACCCGACACCATTTACTAATATTTAATACAACAGGCAGATAATATTGCTGCTGTTGTATACACAAGTTAACCCATAGAAAATGTAGCTTGTAGTGGAATTTTTCGTCAATAGAAAATGGGATATCATTGCCACTTAGTACTATAAATTCACCAGCTATTCTGTTGGGAATTATTCTTAAATACAATAGTCTTTGGACTTATTACATCATAAAAACATCTCATTTGAATTAACTCTTCTTATCAGTATCAAAATATAGTAAATGTGACCTTTCTGTCACTTATTGACATCTGGACCAAGAGAGCCAGGAGCGTCAGTGGCGAGGGAGGTCAGCCAGTGTTAAGAACATAGTAGCTGGAGCAAATTCAGCTCCCATAAATTCTCCTATGGACGAAGTGTTATGGAGATCAAATTAGTGATTTTTCCATCATCAACACGCAGTCAACATCTAAATAAGGGAAGCGTCTTACCGAAACCCGTTTATCTGATCATTTCTGGCCAGTTAATGTTAAGTAGATATAGGGCGAACCGGTTAGGACGCTAGGCAAGCCACTAAACACAGGTAATTAAGCCTTGGTCCTTATCTAAAAATATATAAATGTTTCATCTGATATAGCTGTCATATATTAGGATTCCGGCTATACAGCTAGTGCCCTTTGATAGGAACAAGAAGAGGAAGCAAGAATTAATCTTGGTACATCAGTTACTTGGGTGATGGAAGCTAGCCTCTCACGAGGATAGTTTGGTGTCTACATCCCAGTTATACCTGGTGGACTTAGCCTACCATACAATAAGATAAGGTGCCTCCAATTTTATTAACTAATATATGTGATTTAATACTGTAGTTTGATTGACTGCATATATATAAATTTAATATAAACTCCCCCTAGTGTGTATGGATCGATTTGTGGGATTATTGCAGAAATACAGCCCACTAAACATCATACAAATTGCTATCGAAATATATAAATTAACGTAAATATAAATTCTATATAAATTCCTTTAAATTAAATAAATATAAAGCTCACAGGTCGGCTCCCACACCTCTCACCTTCAAGCCTCACCCCTCCCACCCCTCCCCCTCACCCCTCCCTCCCACCCCTCCCCTCACACCTCCCCCCCTAACCCCTCCCCCTCACCCCTCTCACCGCAAGCCTCACCCTTCAACACATCACCAGGAGTTGAGGGGATCAGCACTCCTTGCTGATCTTCAGCTGTGCTTCAGAAAGCTTCACTGTTACACAGTCCTGCTTCACTGATACACAGTCCTGCTTCACTGTTACACAGTCCTGCTTCACTGTTACACAGTCCTGCTTCACTGATACACAGTCCTGCTTCACTGTTACACAGTCCTGCTTCACTGTTACACAGTCCTGCTTCACTGATACACAGTTCTGCTTCACTGTTACACAGTCCTGCTTCACTGTTACACAGTCCTGCTTCACTGTTACACAGTCCTGCTTCACTGTTACACAGTCCTGCTTCACTGATACACCGTCCTGCTTCACTGATACACCATCCTGCTTCACTGTTACACAGTCCTGCTTCACTGATACACCGTCCTGCTTCACTGTTACACAGTCCTGCTTCACTGATACACCATCCTGCTTCACTGTTATACAGTCCTGCTTCACTGTTACACAGTCCTGCTTCACTGTTACACAGTCCTGCTTCACTGATACACAGTCCTGCTTCACTGTTATACAGTCCTGCTTCACTGTTACACAGTCCTGCTTCACTGTTACACCGTCCTGCTTCACTGATACACCGTCCTGCTTCACTGATACACCATCCTGCTTCACTGTTACACCGTCCTTGCTCACTGATACACCATCCTGCTTCACTGTTACACAGTCCTGCTTCACTGATACACAGCCCTGCTTCACTGTTACACAGTCCTGCTTCACTGATACACAGTCCTGCTTCACTGTTATACAGTCCTGCTTCACTGTTACACAGTACTGCTTCACTGTTACACAGTCCTGTTTCACTGTTACAGTCCTGCTTCACTTACACAGTCCTGCTTCACTGTTACACAGTCCTGCTTCACTGTTACACAGTCCTGCTTCACTGTTACACAGTCCTGCTTCACTGATACACAGTCCTGCTTCACTGTTACACAGTCCTGCTTCACTGTTACACAGTCCTGCTTCACTGATACACACAGTCCTGCTTCACTGTTACACAGTCCTGCTTCACTGTTACACAGTCCTGCTTCACTGTTACACAGTCCTGCTTCACTGATACACCGTCCTGCTTCACTGTTACACAGTCCTGCTTCACTGTTACACAGTCCTGCTTCACTGATACACCGTCCTGCTTCACTGTTACACAGTCATGCTTCACTGTTACACCGTCCTGCTTCACTGTTACACCGTCTTGCTTCACTGTTACACCGTCTTGCTTCACTGTTACACCGTCCTGCTTCAGTGTTACACAGTCCTGCTTCACTGTTACACCGTCCTGCTTCACTGTTACACCGTCCTGCTTCACTGTTACACCGTCCTGCTTCACTGTTACACAGTCCTGCGTCACTGTTACACCGTCCTGCTTCACTGTTACGCAGTCCTGCTTCACTGTTACACCGTCTTGCTTCACTGTTACACCGTCCTGCTTCACTGTTACACAGTCCTGCTTCACTGTTACACAGTCCTGCTTCACTGTTACACAGTCCTGCTTCACTGTTACACCGTCCTGCTTCACTGTTACACACAGTCCTGCTTCACTGTTACACCGTCCTGCTTCACTGTTACACAGTCCTGCTTCACTGATACACCGTCCTGCTTCACTGATACACCGTCCTTGCTCACTGATACACCATCCTGCTTCACTGTTACACAGTCCTGCTTCACTGATACACAGTCCTGCTTCACCGTTATACAGTCCTGCTTCACTGTTACACAGTCCTGCTTCACTGTTACACAGTCCTGCTTCACTGTTACACCGTCCTGCTTCACTGTTACACACACTCCTGCTTCACTGTTACACCGTCCTGCTTCACTGTTACACAGTCCTGCTTCACTGTTACACCGTCCTGCTTCACTGTTACACCGTCCTGCTTCACTGTTACACCGTCCTGCTTCACTGTTACACAGTCCTGCGTCACTGTTAC